AAGACAAACCATAGACTAATAGAAAATATTTGCATAATACAAAAGACTTATATCCAAAATATTATTAAACACTCTAAAAACTGAACAAGAAAAACAAATTTTGGGGCTGGGGATTTAACTCAGGGTTTCTGCCGCCTGCCTCACAAGCCCAAGGTCCTGAGTTTGATCCCCGGTAAGCCCCCCAAAAAAATTTAACTCAGGATCTGTGCTTTCAAGGCAGGCAGCAGCACCACTGAGCTAAATAACCAGCCCAGAAAAACAAATTTTTATAAATGGGCAAATGGTACTAATAGATACTTCGCTAAAGAAGATATGTTAATGATATGTACAATGAAATATATCAAATGATAGTACCAGAAGCTTGGTTAAATGTAAAGCAACTGGAAACTCGATTTTCCTGGTGGGAATATAACAAGAGACAACCATTTTAGAAAGTTTGTCAGTTTCTCAACTCCAGATGTATTCAGCTACCTCATCTTTGACAAAGGAGCTAACCATCACCACAATGGTGTTGGAAAAACTGGATCTCAACCTGCCAAAGATTAAAACTAGACCCTTATCTTTCACAATGCACTAAATTAAAATCAAAGTGGATTAAAGATCTAAATATTAAAACAGAAACACTAAACTTTCTGGAAGATAAATCAGGCAGAACTCTGGAAGACATTGGCATAGGAAAAGACTTTATGAACAAATCCTCAGTAGCACGGGAACTAGCGGAAAGAACAACAAGTGGGATCTCATCTTATTAAAAAGATTCTGCACGGCAAAAGAAACCATCAACAGAACTAAAAGACAACCTACAATGTGTGAAAAAACTTTTACCAGCTGCTCCTCAGACAAAGGACTATTATCTAGAATATATAAAGAACTCAAAACAATCAGCCCCCTTCAAATATAAAGACCCAATTCAAAAATGGGCATCTGAAATGAACAGGCATTTCTCAGACACACAAGTAAAAGCAGCAAGAAAATACATGAAAACTCTTCCACATCACTGGTCATTCGAGAGATGCAGATGAAAACAACACTGAGATTCCACCTCACCCCACAAAGAATGGCTGCTATCAAGAAATCAAACAATAACAAATGTTGGCAGGGTTGTGGGGAAGAAGGAACCCTTCTCCACTGTTGGTGGGACTGTAGACTGGAGCAACCACTATGGAAATCAATATGGAGATACCTCAAAGAACTGGGACTAGAGGTTCCATTTGACCCAGTCATCCCTCCGCTGGGTATCTTTCCAAAAGATTAAAAGAATCATACCACAGTGATATATGTGCGCCAATGTTTATAGCGGCACAGTTTGTAATAGCTAAAACTTGGAAACAGCGCAACTGCCCATCTGTTGGAAACTGGATAAAGAAGATGTGGTTTTTCTATAAAATGGAGTACTACACTAAGCCATAAAGAATGAGAAATTAGTCATTCATAGGAAAATGGATACATATTGAGGATTAACTCCTAAGTGAAATAAATAAGTCACACATGTGTAAATACTGAATAGTTTCTCTGGTGTGAAAAACTATAATAGTACAGAAGATCCTAATGCGACAATCAAGAGTGTGAAATAGGAAGAAAAGGGCTCAAGGTGTAGGGAAAGGGGGAAGGGTAGGGGCAAGGAAATAAGGGAAAAGAAAAAATACGAGAAAATGAAAAAATGGAAATAAAGAGTTTATTAATGGGGAGGGGAGGAGGGGGGGTGAAGGGAGGGCAGGGACAAGGGAAAAAATGAGAACCAAGACCTGTCATGTGAAGGTACAGGATCCCAGTAATGAATATAACTGTACTGTAGACCTAGATTATACCAATAAACTCAATAAGAAATAAAAGAAGAAAGTTTGTCAGTTTCTTACAAAGTTAAACTTGTGCCTCCCCTGTGTCAAGTAATTCTACTACCAACATATCTAACCCCCAAAATGAAAGTACATCTTCATTAAAAGATCTGTACATGAATGTTTAGAGTAACAGCCAAAATTTGGAAACAAAATATCTACCAACCGATAAATGAATATATAACATGTGGTGTATTCACATAATGTGGTTAATAAAAGAGTTGAAATGACACACATGAATCTCAAAAGAAATAGTCCAAGTAAAATCTGATAGAAAAAAAATCTGCACACTGCATGATTTAAATTGGCAATCTAAATAAGGCAAAATACATTCATAGAAAAAGATTAGTGGTGCTGGGGATTTAGCTCCATGTTTCTGCCACCTGCCTCGCAAGTGCAAGGTCCTGAGTTTGATCACCAGTATCAAAAAAAAAAAAAAAAATAAAAGAAAGAAAGAAAAAAAAAAGAAAAGAAAGAAAAAGATTAGTGCTTTTAAGAGGAGTATTGAGGAAGTAATAGATATGTTCTATAATTTTTATTGTATGGTGGTTAAACAAATGTATACATTTACAAAAGTCACAGAACTGCACCTTTAAAATGGGAGAAATTTATTTTATGTCTATGATGCTTCAATATACTTAAATATAAGTAATAAAATCTCCTCTATCTTTGGAGCTCTATAAATCTATATCTATTATACCAAGGAAGTATGATAACACCTGACCATGAAGATGACACAGAAATAGAGTGGAAGACAAACAACATATCTTAAACATATTACATGAATTCTCTGTGCTTTAAATGTCTCTATTGTAAACAGAAAGGTTTACAATGCATTTGCCCAAATTATTCCCAGGAAATATTCAGAATCTTTAATAGGTCTTCTGAGAAAAATTTCTAAAGTCAAAGCACTTGACAAATGTTTTCTCATAAGATAAATCATAAGACATTTTAACATAAGAACCTCTGAACAATCCTACATTCCTTCAATTTTTCTGTTTTGTTTAAACTTGTGGCTTCCCACATTCACTTGTACATGGAACCCTGTTTTTTCACGAAATAATACTGTTAAAATGCATTATAGTTCTATGATTCTTCCGTAAAACCTTCAAGATTTATCTTTATGATTAAGTTTTGTGAGACTGGCAGATTATAAATCTGATTTAAAGTAGCTATGAAGAACTGTCTGCTATAATGAGAAAATTGCTTGAAATCACAAATTTAAGATATTTCATATTTATCTTTCTTCCAGGTTGTTTTCTTTTGTTGTTGTTGTTGTTTTGTTTTGTTTTTGGAACCTGGGATTGAACTGGGGTCCTTGTGCTTGAAAGGCTGGCCACCAAACCGCTGAGCTAAGTCCCCGGCCCATTTTTTTTTTTTTTTTTTTCCCCTTTTTTTTTTTTTTTTTTTTTGAGACAAGGTCTTGCTCTGTAGTCCAGGCTGGCCTCGAACACACTACTGCAGCTCAATCTGGCCTTGAACTTGTGGTAAATATCCTGCCTCGGCCTCCTGATTTCTCTGGGATTACAGGTGTGCACCACCACACCCAGCTCATATTCATTTTGATTACTTTATTTGTCACACCTGAGTTTTTAATCAGGCTCCACATTCTAAATCTCTAAAATTTAGGCACTATATTTTGACTAGTAAGTATGTACTATATGATTGGATTACCTCTATTCTAAAAGTTCCTCTCCAAAAAAAAAAAAGGGACAGATTTTAAGAAATTTAAAGCAATGCCATGGATACTTCAATTCCTAAAACCAAATGAATCAAGTCAGTGTTAAAAGGGTTCACTGAATAAAACCAGCAGAAATCTGAAAGAATATGCTTAATTAAAAAAGAAGGGAAAAACAAGACAAGAAAGGATATAGAAAACCTGAAAATAATACTCTAAAGGCTGCTCTTTGGCTCTTCAGATGACCTTAAAGGAAGTATACACACTACAAAATAATGTGAATACTACAGCTAAAAAATCATGTATTTGGGGCCAGGGATTTAGCTCAGTGGTTCCGCCGCCTGCCTCACAACTGCAAGGACCCAAATTTGATCCCCCGTACAAAAAACAAATCATATATTTGAACATAAACACATGAATAGGAAAAACTGTCTTAATTCAATAAATTATGAATAAAGTTTTAAGGGGAAGTGAACACTGGCAAATCCTGACAGGTAAACAAAATATCTTTAAAAGTGAAAAACAATGTTGGTTAATACCACATTCAATTACACCAAACTCAGAGATCTACTTTTCCAAGTACCATACAGGCTACTAAAGAGAATTATTAGCATTGTACTTCAGAGTATCCAGTTTCCTTAATAATCCTTATCAATTTTCAATGGTTTTCTATAAATGTATTTAAAAATCATTTTTAGCCTCAACCACTGAGAGAAAACAAGTTTTGAGTTTATTGTATAGATTATTCCTGCAAAATTAATTCTTATTTTTCAGTTTGAAATTCATCCCCTTCAAATTATAAGACATACTCTGTGGACACTAGGCATTATAAAATGTTGTATCATTTTTGAAGGATGACAAAATAGGGAAGCAGAATGGTAGTTACTCGTCCAGCATCTTGATTTTGAGAATATTCTGTGAGAATTAAGTTTAATAAAAATAGTTTTGTACCTACATCTCCTTGGAAATTATTAGTATTATCTCTTCAAAATGGTCTGACCAGAGATATTCCAAGAATAATTTGAATGGGACATGTGAATTTCAGCACAGCAGAACCAGGAAGGCTGATGTTGTGGTCTTAAAGACATATAAAATGTATCATATAAATACAAGATATAAGCAGAATATACTTTTGCTTTCTTCTGAAAGCTATCTTCATCTAGTCCCCTATGAAAAATTTTTGAAACAGCAAAAGACATGTAAATAGACAACCACAGTGCTAAAACACCTCTAGTATAATAAAGAAAAATAAAAGAAACACTTCTGCTAAAACAAAGTGACAAAATAAAAAAGGTCATCTCTTAGAAAAGCATGATTATATTTGCTTTAAATAAATATGCCTTAAAAATTGGGACCAACTAAGAAACTCTTCAAGAATGTAAGCAGTTAAAGTTCAAATTTAATTCTGGACCTATTTTTGGATTTTTAATGAGTTCAGGAGAGAATGAATGAAGAAAATGTTTATAACTCACATGGATATTACTCACCCACATTTGGAGGTTTCACGTAATTTACAGGTAGTTCTGGAGGTCTGCCTCTATGCAGAGCTGCGAAAGCAGACCCATTCCATAGTGTACTCTTACAGTCTATTAAAAAAAAAAAAAACACTGAAAGTTAGCCAAGGAAGAGAGCATTGTTCTTTTTTTTTTAAGGTGTGCCTCAAGAGGCATATGTCTTTCATTTCATTTGTTAGAATATATTTTTACTTATTAAATGTACAATAAAATAATGTTTATATATTAAACAAGTAATAGACTAAATTATACTGGTAACACTAACACATTGACATAGTACCAGGATATTTTATCTCTATGCTAGTCTCAAATTGAACCTTTGTTATGCATATGTTTAATTTTAAGTAACTATGTCTCCAATTAATATTTTAAATATACAGTGGTCCTTCTTAATCTTTAGGTTTATACATACTTACTTACAAAACTGTATAAGCAACAATACAATTAAAGCATATTGTACAGTCTCCTTAAAATTATAAAATGAGATGTTTAAGACCTAGCATCATTTATGCTACTTTCTTGTTGCATTAGGATTTTTAAAAACAGTACATTAAAAAAATAGTACATTAATAAAACAAAACTTAAAAATAAATTGGTTCCACCACCTGCCTCACAAGCACAAGGAACCAAGTTTGATCCCCGGTACCAAAAATAGAAATAAATAAAATAAAATAAAATTGGTTGCTATAACTGAAGTACTTAATTATTCTAATACCTAATTTCACGTTTTTATATTCATAAAATATCACTATATATGTTTTACTTATTAGAGCTCCATATAAAACTAGAAAAATATTGTAAAAAGCTGAAAAAGAATAGAAAAACTGTTATTGAACAATCATTGATGGGTTAATATTTTTGTTTAAATACTTTCAATTGTAAAACTTTTACACTAGGGGGTGGTGGTGCACACCTTTAATTCTAGATATTCAGGAGGTTAAGGCAAGAGAATCCCAAATTCAAGGCCAGCCTGTGCAATTACTGAGACCCTGTCTCAAAATACACTGAAAATAAGAAAGGCTGGGAATTATATTTCAGTTACAGGGTGTTTGCCTAGCATGGGCCTCTTAAAGCCATACTTTTAAATGAAATAAATCAAACACATATGTACAAACATTGCATTCTGGTGCAAGAAATTGAAAGTGTAAATAAGAACCAAAATGTATAACAAACATTGTGAAATAGAAAGAATCATTCATAATTATACTGAGTGTGAGATATTTTGTTAATAATTAAAATGTTATATGCGAAAAAGATACAGTATTGGCCAGGCATGGTGGTGCACGCCTGTGATCCCAGCACTCAGGAGGCTGAGGCAGGAGGATTGCTGTGAGTTCAAGACCAGCCTGGGCTACACAGTGAGTTCCACAGCAGTTTGAACTACATAGTGAGAAACTGTCTCAAAAAACCCAAAAAAAAAAAATCTATTCTTTTAAGGTCATGATACAGTGTACTTACCATTGTTAATCTCTATTTTTCATAGAACTGTTTTTATATTTTCTTTATTACTATCTACTCATATCACATTAAAATAAAAATAAGTAAATAAATGCCCAGTACTACCAAAAATATATATTTAAATAATTTTCATTTACCTGTTAAAATATACAATATGACTAGGATATCATGAAGACTAATAAGGAATAAGAACATTATAATATTATAAAAGAATTATTTTCATCAGACATGGTGGTACACACCTATAATCCCAGCATTTTGGAGGCTGAGGCAGGAGTATTACCATGTGCTTGAGGCCAGCCTGGACTATATACTTGCATTTCAGGCTGGCCTGAACTACATAGCAAAACCTTATCTCAACAACAACAAAAATAATTATTTTACACATTTATAATACAGTAATTAGAGCAGCAATGTTTGAGATATCTATTCCAATTACAAAAGAGTTTTATATTCTTTACCTGTGTGACATTCACTAACACAAAAGAATTTTTTTAACCTCTAAAATCTTGTATGCTAAGAAAATAAAAACAACAGGGCCAGGGATTTAGGTCAGTGGCAACGCACCTGCCTTGCAAGCACAAGGTCCTGAGTTCAATACCTGATATTAAAAAAAAAGAAAAAAGAAAAAAAAAGAGAGAAAAGAAAGAAAAAGAAAAGAAAAACAACACTGGCAAAATAATAAAAACTACAAGAATATATGAATATTTACAAAAAGCATGGGAATATTTACGCAACCTAAAAATATAATGTTCTCCACTCTTTTCCCTAAACCGTTCTAAAATCTCAAAATCTTACCTTTGGCATCTCGTAACAGAGACTGCCGACCAACACCTAGTAAGGTCTGTACCCCAGGAACACTCTGAGGGATCTCCTTATCTAGCAAAGGACCAATTCTCTCACAAATTTTAAGGAGGTAGTCTGGAGGAATGTGTGCATTGGCTGCTACCTAAAAAGCAAAAATATAAGGAAAAATGTATTTGGTTTAAAAGCAGGTTCATGACTAAACTGTACGGTCAGTCCTGGAGCAAAGCACAGTTTTAAAATATGAAGTCAGGAAAACAAAACTTTATTTAATACTTAACCAAATTTGAGCAACAACCAAAAATAAGCTTATTTAAATGGCATAATGCACTGAAATGATACTCTTACATTTACATATTTAATTAATTAAATATAATTTAATTAAATCATTTGTTGAGCTGTCAGATTTTATGAAATGTGTATTACCAAAGCAGCAAAAGTAACCATGTACCAAATCAAAAAAGGACGAAGATGATGGATGAACTATTACTTGAGTTATTCAATATTAATAATGAACTAATCACAAATAAGAAGCTCTAAATTAGGTACAAACAATAATAATAATGAAAGGTATTGCTAAATGTCACCCAAGTCCCCTTAGTACTAACAGTACACATTTGTACAATAAAGCAGAAGTTTCTTCCTATAAAGTAATTTGCTACTCAAAGGGTAGTCAACTAATTATTTTATAAATACTAAACAAGATAACTGCTATGTAACCAAAATTCTTTGAAAATTTGACATTTTTATAAAATACAACTGAATTTCTGGAAAGAAGCATATATATGTGAATGGGAATTACTCAATAAAACAAAAACTGTGTTCTGCTTTTTTTTAACCTAAGCTAATATTCAAATCTTCAATGTGTTTCATAAATATCTAAATATTAAAACAAGAGAAAACTAGAGTATTAAAAATCCTTAGCTAAAGGCTGGGAATTTGGCTCAGTGGCATGGCACCTACCTCTCAAGCACAAGGTCCTGAAATTGATCTCCCATACCAAAAAAAAAAAAATTCCTTAACTAAAAAGAACATCTATAATTTCATGTTGACATAGGCGTAAAATCATTTGGTTAGATGCTTTTATGTTTTATCATAAATATATGCATGTCTACCATCACAAAAGGCATACATCAACAGGTCAAGAACAATATAAAATAATTTTGTAAATCATCACTGGTGGTCACTATGACAGAAGAAATTTTTGTTTTGTTTTGTTTTCGTTTTATTTTTTATTTATTTATTTTTTTTGAGACAGGTCTCACTACGTAGTTGAGACTCACCTGGAATTCACTATGTAGCACAGGTTGGACTCAAACTCACAGCGATCCTCCTGCCTCTACCTCCTGAATGCTGGGATTACAGGTGTGCGTCACCAAGCCTGGCATTTTTTTTTTCCCCGGTACTGGGGATCGAACTTGAGTCCTTGGGCTTGCAAGACAATAAGTGGAACCACTGAGGTAAATCCCCAGCCCTTTGTTTTTTTTTTTACTTCCATATTCCTAGCACGCAGCAAATGCCAGCATAAAGCAGGAGTAAATATTTACTGAATATTCCCAGTACAATCAAACAAACAAACAAACAAAAATGCAAATCAGTGAGCCAATGAATAAATGAATAAAACTCAAAGTAAAGTCTAATTATAATAATAAGGAGTCACAGTGAAATAATTTGATTCTCCTATCAAGGTAACTTTGTTTTCTAAGGAAATACAGGTGAAAAAAACTAATATATATATATATTAGATTTATATATGTGTGTGTGTGTGTGTGTGTGTATGTATTTAAATATATATTCACCATTCTGGGAATATGTGATACTATTATTATAATTATTTTTGTAAAAATTATTTTCTGCCAATTAACTTTTTTTGGGGGGGTACCAGGGGTCAAACTCGGGTCTTTGTGCTTGCGAGGCAGGCAGCAGAACCACTGAGCTAAATCCCTGACCCCAATTATCTTTTTTTTTGTTCCTTAATGAGTTTATTGGTACATTTTAGGTATACAGTACAGTTACATTCATCATTTGGATCTTGTACCTTTACAGGACAGGTCTTGGTTCTCATTTTTTCCCAATACCCCTGCCCTTCCTTCACCCCCTCCTCCCTTCCCTATTTACAAAAACTTGATTTCCATTTTTTCATTTTCTCATATTTTTTCTTTTCCCTTATTTCCCCTCCCCTACACTTCCCACTTCCCCCACACCTTTAGCCTTTTTCTTCTTGTTTCACATTGTTAATTATACCATTATGGTCTTATTTGTAAGTGCCTGCAAAACACAATTTTAATACAGTATAGGTAGGAACTCATTAGTAATTCTTTCAATTATTTCTCACATTTTTGGTTTGGTTTTCTAAGCAAATAACTATATAAAACTACATTTCAGTAAAATATACAATCAATATTAAAATCAAAGCAACTGACAATTTAATCAAGTATTTCTTATTATCTACAGAAAGTGGTATCCTAAAATCCCATGTAATTTTTTTTTTTTAAGATAGGGTTTCCCTATGCAGTTCAGACTGGACTTGAACTCATTATGTATCCCAGGCTGGCCTTGAACTCCCAACAATCCTCCTACCTCAGCCTCCCAAGTGGTGGGATAACATGTGCCACCATGCCTGGACCTATTTTGTAATTCTCACCTGTGATGTAGTATCTGTAATGGAGAATAGAGTTCAAGACCAAACTCATTTCTAGTGATATTGATCTAATCTTTGATGGACTTAGTGTAACCAAAAGGTTAGATATAAATAAATAACTATCATAACACTAGCTACCTTCATTTATTTCTGATTATATATATATATGTATATATATGTGTGTGTATATATATATATATATATACATTCACACACATATGTATTTGAATGAGAAAAATCTTAAGGCATTGCATACTAACATTAAGGCTCTGCCTTCTTTCCCAACACTGTCTTAGATATATTAGGCTTCTGGGTATTTTGGGGTTTTGTTTGTTTTGTTTTGTTTCAATACCGGAGATTGAACTCAGGACTTTGCGCTTTACGCTTGCAAGGCAGATGTGGCATCACTGAGCTAAATTCCTAGCCCCTATTTTTTTTTTTTGACACAAGTTCTTACTATGCAGCTCAGACTGGCCTCAAACTTGCATTTCTCCTACCTCAGCATTCCAGAGTGCTGGGATTAAAAGCATGTGTCATCTCACGCATTTAAATGAGGCTACTAATATAAATCATTACTTTTTGAATGCTATGTAAAGGGCTTTACAAAGGGTGGTAGTTGATGTCTTTATTGACAATTTTGTTTGTTTCATCCTCTGACCAAGAGTTATTCACTAGCTATAAAACCTTAACTACCTATCCTAGAATGCAATGTGTCTATAAACATATAATCCAGAAAATGGGAGTTCTCTAATTAGAACTTTTAGATTTACTTAGTAGAAAATTTGTCAGAATTCTATCATAAACTGACATCTAAATTTCCCAAACTATTACACACTATAGAAACAATGTCTGCCTTTCAGCTAATTTATATAAAAATGTTTGTCAACTCAGTAATAATTCATAAACACAAAATCATAAATGGCTAAAAATAATCTGTATACTCAGCAATTAAAACAAGGGCTATTTGTAAATTCTCCCATTTGAATATATTTGTACAATGAACTAGTAAACAAAATTTTAAGTTTAATTTTTGCCCTCCACAGCATAAAATCACTGAATTTCTAAGCAGCCCAAAAATTCTTTCCTATAAAATTAATAAAAATTTAATTACAGTATTAGAGAAATATACATTCTATCAAAATAATACTAATAACAAATTTTTTCAGTGAAAACATGTTAGCTTCTCCTTTAACCATTAACAGGTATCAGCAGTATTCCAAACTGCTCTTACAATGATGTTTTTTCTACATCAAATTTTAGGTCTTATAAATTGTTGTTAATGTTTACTTTAATCCATTTATTTATTTAGATACCAGGGATGGAACTCAGGACCTTACACTTGTGAGGCAGCCAGCAGCACCAATGAGCTAAATCCCCATCCCAAAGCTTTTTTTTTTCTTTTTTTTTTTGGTACCGGGGATTGAACTCGGGTCCTTGCGCTTGCAAGGCAGACCACCAAACTTAATTTTTTAAAGGTAATCTAATACACCATGAGTAATTTTAAAGTATCAATTAAGCTCATTCTAGCTGGGTGTGGTGGCTCATGCCTGTAATCTCGGCACTCAGGAGGCTGAGGCAGGAGGATCACTGTGAGTTCGAGACCAGCCTGGGCTACATAGTGAGTTCCAGGTCAGTCTCAACTATACAGTGAGACCCTGTCTCAAAAAACCAAAAAACAAACAAACAAAAAAATCAATTAAGCTCATTCTAATTTCAGCCATTTGATATTTCTCTCTGGAATATAATGGTTGACTAATAACACCAAAGGAGTGGCTTGAGATAAACTTTCTGTATAGTTAATTGGGCAGTGGCACAAGCTTGAAATCCCAGCAATACAGAAGGCTGAGAGGAAGAATCCCAAGTCAGAGGTTATCCTGAACAATTTAGGGAAATGCTGCCTTGAAATAAACAATGGGTTGGAATTGTACCTCAGTGGTACAGCATTTATCAAGCATGCATGAGGCTCTAAATTCAATGCTCAGTATCACAAAGAAAGATAAATAAATAAAGAGCATTCTCTAAAAACAAAGTTTAATGTCCAGCATGGTGGCACACACCTGTAATTCCCAGAAATTCGGGAAGCTGAGGCAGAAGGATCACCTTGACTACATGGTGAGTTCAGAGCCAGCCTGAACTACACAGTGAATCCCCATCTCAATTAAAAAAAAAAAATTACAAGGCCAGTCTGAACCGCATAGTGCGACTCTATCTCAAAACAAACAAACAAAACAAAGTTTAAAAGTATACCACTAATTTTTGTCTTATCCTATATAATATCTCCTAGATGTTAAATTATAGAATCGGTTTGAACAGGAAAGATCCTATTGTACGAACAACCTAACTCCAAGTCTTACAGAAGGGCAAACAACTCCAAAGAGAAGTGCAATTTGTAATTATCACAATGAACAATCTGGGACTCTGCCCACTCTTTTTTCTACTACTGTACTATACAATCATTCAAACACTTACTTATAAAGCTAGAGATAGGGCTGGGGATTTAGCTC